AGTAGAGGTCTCCAGGTTCAAAAAGTAGGAGAATTGCATCTCCTCAAAACAACTGCATTTTCATGTTCGCAACACAACACTCTTAATCTCTGTGCACTTGGTGGGTGTGTTAGTGTATTTCAACCCACCCACATGCCAAGCTGAACAGAAATAGCGCAACACTAGGAGAACATACAGTACTTACATTTCTACTCACAATACATGAGGTGACTGAAATCATCACTCTAAAAGCAGAAAGAATGCAACAAAACCCCCAACAATAAATATTGTTTGAAATAGTCCTGTGCTGCAAAGGGAATAGACTACATGACCGAATAGGGCTCTTCCATCTTCAATCTCTATAGGGACCATGGATCTTAAACTTATTTTTCTGCTTGTTGGTAAAAGTACACATCTTGTAAACTTTCAAAGCTTTTAACCCTCAGTGTTTCATGACTCCTCTCCACAAGGCATCCACTTCTAAGTATCAGTAAGAGAATAGCTCTACCAACAGGCCAAACAAAACGTTGCAAGTGCAAACTTGTAACAAAGAGATTTTTAACTATGAGGGAAATCATGACATTTCAAATACATTCAAAACTCATCTCAGTAAATGACAAAATGATAGGTCATCAACTGGGGAAATGCAGTTTTGTCTCACTTTGAATCAACAGGTGACTTCATTTTTATACACATAAATGAGAAGTCTGATTTTGAGTAGCAGATGAACAAAACCAAACATGAATTTAAAAGACCTCTGCAATCAGCCAGACATCTTTTCCAAAAACATGCAGCCAAAACCCATTCACTTCTTACTGTGAAAGATTATTGTAGAGTATTACTCTAAAGCAGTTGCCTTCAAAGTGGGGTGCATGCACCACATGGGTGCAAGACAATTCACTGGGGCGCAGGAAGAAAATATCAGAACTTCAGTAGCACATTCATATAATTTATAAATAAATAAACATACATATAATGGGGCTGCATGCTCAAGAAGTTTTTACTGATAGGGATGCAGGACCAAAACAGTTTAGAGATGACTGCTCTACAGAATCCTTCCGTGCAATTACTGCTGCCAGGTAAATGCCAACTAATGAAGATGTTGGTGAGATAAAAGCTCTCTTTACATCTCTTCTCATCTATCAATTGTACAAATAAGTAAAAATTTCTCTAGGAGGCAGATTTGCAAGCTCCCATCTTTCGTTAAGATGCATGGATTCTCAGAAAAATCCCCAAATTACTCAACTTTTCCTTTGTTTTCAGGAAATGCAACTTACTGGTTTCTTATTAATCTCTTCCCTCCACTGTATTTATTGTCGGCATTTGATCAAAGAGCTAATTTTCCTTATGTGGTCAGTTAAACCAGAGCACAACATGTTATATATGTCAACCAATACAGGTAACTGAAAGTATTTGCAACTGGAAATGAATGACCCTCTGGAAAACTCTTAAACCAAGGGAAAAGTTAGCGTTCTTTTTTTCATCTGGGCTACCTCACTTGTATGAAAAAGTGGCTCATGAACAAAATCTGGTTCAGTATGGATTACAATATGCAAATGTAGAAGAGGAAAATTCTTCTCTTATCCAAAACACAATGATCAGATTTGTTAATCTCTTTTCTAATCTGGAATGAGAAGGATGTAGAAACAGTGACTAAACTGAAATCTTGCGGTATCTGTAATCATTATGAAGATGTTTGGGCTGCCTAATTTAGGGAAAATGTGAATAAGAAGAGACAAAATAATATTGGTACCGAGAAAATACACCAAGCATCCTTCCTCAGCATCACCTAACAAATCACAGGATGGGTGGCGAAGTTGAAAGGCAATACTCTTAAATTAACAGAAATATTATTTTAAATTTAATGCAATGTATAATTATCCCTTCAAATTCTCTCTAGTAAGAACATCTGCAATTACACCGAGTGAAATGAGGACAGTAATTCTAAGCACTTCATGGTATATACCATCCACATCAAGCATCAGCAAAGGGTTAGCTAAAGATTCACCCCACAGCAGGATGTATCTAGCTACTGCTCAGAGAGCGTTATTTATATCTTCTCTGAAATAATTTGAACTGTTTATTATCAGAATAGGTCTCAGACACAGCAACAGCTACTTAGTGGTGTGTGGAAAGCTGAAAACCAAAAGCAGCAGTGTAAGAAGTCACACATAACACACACTTTGGAGTCACAGGTAGAGGTGATTTTTTTTCTTTTTTGCTTTTGCCTTAGTACTGTATGTACAGATTGCTAGATGCTGCTTTTACTCAAAGGTAAAATCTTTTGAGTCTTGAACAACGTTTTTCTTGTTATTTTTCCTATCTACATCTAACTGGAGAAACAGTGATGAAATCTTAGTGAATTGTAATTCATTTTTTTGTGAAACTGAATAACTAATAACCTTGACATCAAAATGTTTCAACATTTTTAGTACTGCATCATTCAGTTTTCTCCATTCACACCTACCTGCATTACTACAACATTTTAATTTTTTTTTTCTAATGACTCTTGAAAGCCTCCCCCTATCTTCCTTCACTGAGAATTCTGAGATTCTTTTGTTTACTTTTAATTTGGCAGAGAACTCAATTGTGAATTCCTCCAGGAAATTAAATTTCCATCTTTAGCATTGCTCTACTACAGCTATCAGACACGAGGCATCTGAGAGGAAATGGTACATGGGCACCCTCCTCAGCTTTAGAAAGCTGCCATTGAAGGCTGGATTGTGAGATTGAAAGAAGACTGCATGCCTGGCTACACCACTAAAACATAATGAAACAGTGATGTCTGGCATAGCTCCTGTTCTACACAAGGCACACATTTCAGGCTCAATCTGTCTGCCCCAAAATAGGTATCAAAAAAAGTTAAGACATTCTAGATGGTATCCACAGGGCTAGCTGGCACAGCACGGGACAACTGGGAGAGCCATGTCCTTCTGGAGAGGCAACTAGAGGCTAGGCATGATGTTGTAGCAATTTGAAGATGGCAATATACACGAGGGGAAGTGGATTTAAATTGCACCAGGGGAGGTTCTGGTTGGATATTAAGAAGAATTTCTTTCCTGAGAGTGTTGTCAGCCATTGGAACAGGCTGCCCAGGTCACCGTCCCTGGAGGTGTTTAAGAGACGGGTGGATGTTGCACTGGGGGGAATTGCTTAGTAGGTTGACAGGGCTGCGACAAAGGCTGGACTCGATGAGCTTCAAGGTCTCCTCCAGCTGAAACTATTCTGTGATTCTATGATTCTATGTCTTGGCAACAGTGTTGAGCCCTTCTAGTTTTTAATTTTGTAACACATATATCAATAAGGCAAGGGAAAAAAAAGTAAAAAAATGCAGCTGTGTGAAACATGGTTGATAGCATTTTACAAATTTCAGGTATATTCTTAAAGGATCATTCTATGATTCTATGAAATTCATGTTCACTCTGCCAGTTTGATAAACGCCGTCAGTTTTCAAAGTTTCAGGTTTTGTTTTCAGTTGTCAGATTCAGGAAGTTCAAGGGCTCAGACTCCCTCTTTACTCCTACATTCTTTTAGTTTAAGGTCAGCTAAAAAAAAAGCCACAAATCATACACCTGTCTGCTTATTTCTGCATATCCTTTTTTTAGGGTTTCTTAAGAATTTGCCATCTGGCTGATCACAGAACGATGTACACTTTTGAACAAGTCACTGGCCAGATTCAAACTCCGAAGGGCTGATGAGCACAACAGACCCTGGTGCTTTCACAGTTCCAGCCAATATGTCTTTTTTTCCCAGCTGAATGCCACTATTTGACATTACATTCCATAACAGAGGCCCAAGTGTAGTATTTTTTACTCAGAGACCAGTAAACCTAGCAAAAATCATTATTTCTTTCATGAGCAAATTTCATTCTGAAATTATGAAGCCATGATCCAGTATCTTTAACGGAATCACATGGAAGATTCAAGCACTATGCTATAAACATATAGCAAAATAATGTAAACACATATTTTTATTTTAAATATTCTTTGAGGTGTTCATGACTGCTTCACCTATGTTCCTCTTCCATATACTAGTTTGCAAACTTCCAACAGAATTCATCCAAGAGACATGATAAACAAGGTATGTGTTACTGAATTTCAATTTTTTTAAGTTCTTCAGAGACAGTAAGTGTCTAAAAGGTAAACAGAGTCCACACTAACTTAATTGCTGCAATGTTTTGTAGCCAATTGTTAAAAAAATTTGTTGGCAAGCATCTCTCCTTAAATCAACCATATAGTAAATGAATGTCACCAGAGTCTGAGTTTGCTTTCCGAATTAATGATGTTTAACTGAAAGTCTTGTTTACAAATACAAGTAGTTAGTAATTTCTTGTGTGTCTGCATATTGCAAACATTAGTTTTCATCTCTTCATAAGAAAAGTATTAAAATCTCAGCAACAGAGTTCACAACAAAATTATTGATTTAAAAAATTTTTTTTTTGTATGATGACGACATTCGCTGTACTAACCACTGGCTTTTTGGGGATCTTTACATAAAGGATAAGGCTTTGGGGATCCTTCCTTTATTCAGTTTAACATCAGATAACAGTGCATGGCAAAGACCACAACCATTTGACAAATGCAAACAAATTAAGGGTCAGTTAAATATACAGCAAATAACAAATATATGGAAAAGATGTCCAAAAAATGGTGCAAATAGTGAAAAAATATATTTGAATAGTCCAGATTTTAATACGGTAAAGACGATGTATCATGTAACCGATGAAATATCAAATGTTGGTAAATATTAAACTGGATTGAATTGCCTTAATTTTACTTAACAACAACTATAATCTTAATTTTTTTTATTAATACGGTAAATTCAGTTTTGAGGTATAGGGAGAGATGTTACTGCTATCAACAGACTGCATTTATCTGAAGGCAGAATTTAACTGAAAATGTTTCCAAATACAATGGAAAGCTCATTCAAAGTTTTGTCTATATAGATTGCTTTAACTCTTACAAAAACCTGAACATTGTACACAGAAAACCATAAGATTTTAGAAATTTAAGATTACTTACAAGCTGCTCAGACTTTACACCGTAGAGCTGAATGGTCTTTGCCACATTTTTTGCAACAGCTAAACTCAGATCTGGATCAACAGCAGCCACATTTAGTTCACTGGAAGCAAAGATTACAGATCTATGTTAACAACTAAACAGTGCTGTATTTAATTGATAAAGAATTAACTATGAATACGCAGTTACATGGCATTTCGATTTAGAGAGAGTAACACATGCAACCAAGTCTTTCATAAGCACCATAATTCAGTCTACAATTTAACAAGTCATCTGGGAATTTTATGTGCAGTGTTCCTACTCTAGTAAAAATGAGCAAAGTTTAGGACTGACACTTCAGTATGAAATCACTATTAGTAAGCCATTCAAAAATATTGACTGCAATTAACTACACTCAAGCTTTGGCAGCAGCCTTCAAACATCACAGGTGAATACACAGTCATTCAAGTCTGGAATTGCGTGAGCTGTGAGAAATACCCAGGGGACGCCTTAGCTTGACACAACTAATAAGCTGTGTTTTAGGCAATCCTTTCTAATGATAGAGGCCCCAAAGGAATGACAGAGAACAAAAGGAAGAAGGAGAAGAATTCCAAACCAATCCCAGTATTTCTTGAGAGTGGAACCCCCCAGATCTCCATCACTTGGGGCTGCACTCATAAATGCTCTATGCAAAACAGACAAGTACAAGGACCGTCATGTTGCTGGTGATGAGATTAACCTCTCTCAAGAACTGGAGAGAAACCAGGCAACATAACACAGGAATAACCTTCTCTGAGAACTCTGCAGGACCCCAAACAGCAGCTAAAGGTCACTCTGGAAAATTCAGCTTAACTTTCCTAATTTTCACATTGTTTTCCCTTCTCCCCTGCAAGGAGAAAAATGACATCAATAACCACACGAATAGGCATGTTCTGTGCATCTGCAGCTCCCAATCCTAAGTGTCACTGATTAATATTACACACACATTCACATACTCATACTGTGAATATTGCCCATCATTTTCAGACTGTAATAAACAGAGTAGTCCTTATCAAAATCTTATGAGGGAAAATACACCATCAGTAATTAAAGTGTCTAATTTTAAAAATTCAACCTGGAATAGTCATCTTTATCTATTACCTTGCTGTTTCCTTCTAACAGAATATCTTCCTTTTAATACTGGCAGAACAATTAAGATATCAGGCATTTACAGTAAGTGTGAAGTTCCTCCTTCTGACATTTTATAAGCTTAAACTGGACGATGCTCTTAGTAATCTACTTTAACTTTTGGTAATCCCTGAAGTGGTCAGGCAGTTGGACTAGATGATTACTGTAAGTCCATTCCAACTGAAACGATTCGATTCTATTCTAATTCTATTCTATTCTTATTTCATTCCATTAATCCTGACTTAATTTTTACACTAACCAGTTTTATAACTAAAGAGTAATAAACCTTTTACTGTTAAAGTCTCGTTTCTAAAATTGCAGCTGGTGAGAAATGTGAGAAAAAACATACTGAAGAATACATTTTGCAATGTATTATATGTGCATACCTGGCTACAGTTTTAATGATGCTGTCAAGTTCGTCAGAAGAAGGAGGATTCCGACCTCCAGGAGGGAAGACGAGATTGATGGGATCAAAGAGTCGAGATAAGGATTTTGACAAATATGCAGCTTCATATTGTTGCAATGAATCTTTCAAGGCTTTTTCTGGACTGTACATGTAAGACAAAATTATTATATTTCAAACTAAACACTCAACAGCATTGAATCCTTCCAGGCCATACAAACTTCACAGTATTGAATCTCCTTTTCTCTTTCTGCTCTTTGAACATATGCACTTGGAAAGATATTAATAGCGTATAACACTTTGCTTTTTGCTTGAACCACATAATTAGTCAGGGAGCAATTCTGTGTGCTTCAGTATAGTTCTTAGCACTTTCTGTAAGACCTAACATGGAATCCCTAATTCAAGGTGTTCTTGAGACAAATTGTGCTAAAAACATCTGCAAAGTATCAGCAAGATATCCAGAACTGCATTTTAAAACACTTTTATACTCACATATTTCATAAGCAGATAGCTTGTGCTCAATGCTATATTAAAAAACTATCTCTTGGTATATGTATGTGTTCAGAAAGCTTCAAGTAGAGACTCTTCTTAAATTTACCTTTAATAAGCTTCAGTCTTTATTATTTCTACTTATGGAAAAGAATAAGCACTAGCAATCTTCAACATTTTACCTAATTGTCAGAAGTTTAGTGTACTTTTTACTTTGCTTCCACTGAAATACAAGAGAAGCATCCCATTGACTGCTAAGGAACATATTTAAGACAACACAAATCTCACATAAAATATGCATTTCCTCTTACATAAATCTGGATGTTCTAATAGACTTCATAAGCCTGTTTCTGTTTGATCTTTTGGATATCTACCACTCAAATCATATTTATTCTATGATGTATAAACATAAAATCTGTGAATCATAACAAACTGAACATTTGTCATGCTCCAGTGACTGCTCTATCATTAAGAGAAGGCTACTGCTGTAATCGCAACACATACAAAACTGAATTTTCATAATTTTGCTTTTTTTTTTTTTGGCCAGAGACAAAAAGATTAAACTAGTTCTGAAGTCAGGGACTTTGAAAGAAAATACAATCCAACACTGTTAATTATACAACCTAATGAAAATCCTACCACTTTAAAATAATATAAAGCAATAACTGCAAGAAGAAATAAAAAAACTCTTTAAAATTTTCCCGCTCTGACAATAACACTAAGTTCTTGATTGAGAGAGCTGATTCTGCCCCTCTGCTCTGTTCAGACCTCACCTGGAGTACTGCATCCAGATGTGGAGTCCTCACAAAAGAAGGACAGGGACTTGTTGGAGCAGGTCCAGAGAAGGCCCCAAAAATGATCAAAGGGCTGAAGCACCTCTCCTATGAGGACAGGCTGAGAGAGTTGAGGTTGCTCAGTGTGAAGAAAATCAGGTTCCAGGGAGACCTTATAGCGGCCTTTCAGTACCTGAAGGGGCTACAGGAAAGCTGGGGAGGGACTGTTCACAGGGGTGTATAGTGACAGGACGAGGGGCAATGGTTTTAAACTAGAGCAGAGTAGATTTAGATTAGATGCTAGAAGAAAGTTTTTTACAACAAGAGTTGTGAAACACTGGAACAGGTTGCTCAGAGACATGGTGGAGGCTCCACTCCTGGAGACATTCAGGGTCAGTTCTGATGGGGCTCTGAGCAACCTGATCTAGTTAAAGATGTAGTAGGAGCAGGGAGGTGATCATGCCCCTGCACTCGGCTTTGGGGAGGCCTCACCTCGAGTGCTGTGTCCAGTTCTGGGCCCCTCACTACAAGAGGGACATTGAGGTGCTGGAGAGGGTACAGAGGCAGCTGCCAAGCTGGGAAAGGATTTGGAGCATGTGTCATATGAAGAAAGTCTGGGGCTGTTTAGCCTGGAGAAGAGGAGATTGAGGGGAGACCTTATTGCTCTCTACAACTACCTGAAAGGAGGTTGTAGTGAGGTGGGGGTTGGTCTGTTCTCCCTAGTGGAGAGTGATAGGACGAGGGGAAATGGATTTAAACCGCTCCAGGGGAGGTTCAGGTTGGGTATTAGGAAGAATTTCTTTCCTGAGAGGGTTGTCAGGCATTGGAACAGGCTGCCCAGGGAGGCGGTTGAGTCATCGACACTTAGTTTTAGAGACGGGTAGATGTGTAGAGGGACATGGTTTACTGGTGTTGCTAGGACAACAGGACAAAGGTTGGACTCGATGATCTTGAAGGTCTCTTTCAAATGAAACTGTTCTATGATTCTATGATTCTATTCTATGTCCCTGCTCACTGCAGGGGAGTTGGACTAGATGACCTTTAAAGGTCCCTTCCGTTCTATGATTTTATGAAATTATTCTGTTTTTTTCCCAGAGTGCAAAGTTTACATTTTATTGCCTTAGAGTTCATAATACGTACTCATAATCTTGGGTTTTTTGCATGAATATGTCCTGTGCATCTTCTTCCATTTGTTGTAGTTCAGCAAAGAGATCAGTAGCTCCAGTTGTGTTAAAATTCCTCTGAATATTTTGGCTATATTGCTGCAGGCGCTTCCACAAGTCATTATAAAGCCTCAGTAATTTAGGGTATTCTCCTTCAAAAGCTTGTTTCAAAAACATAGAGGCTGCAAGATAAAGCAGTAAACTATACACAGTACTAAGTCCAAACTCACTTTTTGATTCATATAAATAACATGATTCCTATCATTTATATATACAATGATATACAATGTTACTCTGTCTTTAAAATTAATAACATAATATTTATCATTAATGTCAAAGTGAAATGAACTATCACATCAAAACCAGTTGGTAAAGGTACATTTCTAAAGCACCAGCATAAAATCCACAATTGGAAAACTAGACATGTAGAATAAAGAAACTAAACACGGTTGTGAAGCATTTGGTATCAAACCTAATTATTATCATTCGTTTAAGGCCAAAGCATGATTAGAACTCTCTAAATCTAACAACTTTCTCACTGTAGCTTGATGGGGAAGAAGTGTCGGGCTGTGCAACTCTGAAAATATGCATCTAAAACACAGATAACTTCTGTGAGCCGAATCTTCAGAAATCTTATAAGGGAAGCATATGCTTTTACACACAATTCTTAAAACAAGATACCTAAAATGCAATTCCTAAATGAATTCAAATGAAGAATGACAAAGCCATCAGAATAATCAGAATTATTTTCAGCCATGAAAGGCTTGCCTCAAGTAACAGGAAATTAAACAAATGTACAACTGTTTTAGCAATTGATGTTAATCTTGATATAACATCACTCATACTTTATGGATTTCCCATTACATTAGGAGATTAACACTGTTTCCTTCATTCATCGGTTTTTCAGGTTCCAGACATCTGCCCTGTTTCATTCAGCCTACCCTTTCAACTGAAATATATTCCAAATTAGAATACTACAGGATGCACATCTATTATCAAACATTAAGTTATTTTAGGTCATGAAGCTATGTTTATAAAGATGGTCCCGATCTACTGTCAAACTCTGAAAACTGCCATGAATTCCTATTTTTACCCTATTTTTCTGATAATGTCTAGTCTTCCTTCGATCTGTATGGTTCAGAGGTCTGTGACTGATGTCAGTGGATTTAATCACTTAGAATTTATATGTTAAAAATTAACTTTCTCATATAGACACATCACTTAAATGAAATCTACTTGCTGTAAGCGTTGTTTCACCAAAACTCAGCTGTAGCAAAGTAAAAACACCATTCACAGTTCAAAAATCCAACTGCTCCCTCTAAACGTTTATATAAAAAACATGATTAAAATTCATAAGTAAAAAAATATTTTTGAATAGCTGTCAAAGTACTGCTGACAAAATGTAAGAGTTCCCTTACTTCTGAAATGTTGATTGATCCCATTATCTAATGTCACAATTTTACAATCTTAAAAGTGAGTGCCAAAAACAGGTAGCTCATATTCCGTTTGAACATGTGAGATTCCAGGTATGTACACACTGCTCTTAAAGTAATGCACAAAGCAAACAGTAAAATTAATATGTTTTACCACAAGATGAATACATTTACTTTTGGGATCATCTAGTTACTTAGCAACCACTGAACATGAATCAAACCAGCTAGTTCCTCAAAATTATGTCGCTGCCATAAAGCCTGGAAGGACCAAATTCTGAAGGGCCAACGCAATAGCTGAGATCACAAAGATAAATGCAAATCTTATGCACTTTATCTGCATGTGCAGAAAGATTAACTTCATGCACTGTATACAAACATGAAAGACATATTTATGAAAGCATGAAACCTACGATTCAATTGCATGCTGCATTAGCATGTACCGGTAATAGCACTGTCTTATGTTTATACATGATTTTTATTTAATATTCCTTGACTGCATCGGCTATTTACATATTACATATATACAGAATATTGTGTTTAACCAGAATATCAGTCATTTATTTATATTTAGACAAGAGACAATTCTGAAGAAACTCAACTACTTATAAAGGTATCAAAAAATGGCTAAAATCAGATTTTTACAACTAGTCAGTGTTTAACAAGAAAAGACTGTAAGAACTGCTCTTTAAAATCACATTATTGTTTTTTAATTTGGTAAACATATTCACTTTGGAAAGTGCATTGCACCATTCCAAACATTTTTACCTCCACATACAGCTACAAAAAAAAATATTTGTTATTAGATAATGACAACTTAATTAAGCAGAAAATATTTCTTTCTGAAAATTCAACCCTAGTTTAGGAGGATCACCCTGTTTGGTTACAAAACCAAGCAGTTTTAAATTCACAGACGCCACACTGAGTGAACTACTGTTACAGTTCTAGTAGAAGAGATACCAAGCAATGGACTTTCTGAAGTAAGAGATTCAAAATAACTATAGAACACATTACAAATGATTTATACCAAATACTTACAGTCTGTTGCTGACTGAAACTGAGAGGAAAGTGTCCGAGTTACTGCAGTCCAAAATTTGTACAAAATATCAGACTGGCCATCCTGATAGCAAGGGATAAAAGAAACACAAGTTTCAAAACATGCTCTTTTCAAAGAGTCTTAAACAATGCAACTGCTTCCAGTCAAATCTGCTCTGCCATCACTGAGAATAAAAACTAAGTAAAGGAAATCTGATAAGTTTTCCTCAAGTTTAAAACTAGGGGGGAAAAAATGGAGAAAACAATACCAAAAGCTTCAGTTTTCTCTCAAATGGAGTGTTTTACTTAAATCCTGAGAGACATGCTCCCAGCTCTCTAGGGGAATGAGCACGGACTGAAGCGGCACACCTCAGGAGCCCCGTTAGAAAACTTCTTTGCATTGCAGTGACCTTCTCATTCTGTGGCGTCTCATGATGGCAACATCTCAACAATTATTGTTACTGCCATTACAATGTACTTGTGACCAACCAGCCACCAACACCAGTGCACATTGCTTTGCTTCACACAGAACAGGTTCCTGTTCTTAAAACTATAAAAATACAGAGAAACCCATGGCTGACTCTTCACCACCTTCTGTCAATGAGGCTTGCCATTTGACGTGGAAACAAGGTAGCACATTCTTCCAAAAATGACAGCTGATTCCTTACTGCCCCCAACACCTGCACTTATGCTCGAATGTTAAAGCAGGATTTTGCTTTCTCTCTTCTGCTTTGCTTTCTTCCTGTCTGTGTGTTTGAGGTTGAAAAAATGACAAGAGATGATGATGGGTATCCTGTCCTGCCCACTAGGCAGACCCCCGGGAGGCTGTCCAGTGTTTTCATGGGAAGGGGATGCTTGCTCTGGACAGAGCTTCGTTGCATGGTATATATATATATATATATATAATGCATGACCTGACTGTACAAATTCATCAGTTTGACCAAATCACTATAGTAATGACAATCAGCAAAAAGTGCTCAGAATGACAAAGAGAAGCAGCCAGCAGTGATGATAAATGTCAGCAATTCTAAAGATCAGCTTGGCTGTTTCTAACCTCACTCTGAAACGTTCAAGGTTTTAAGTCAAAGCACAGCATTCACAGCTGAAGATGGGTTTAAGCAAAGGGCTCAACGCTGAAATCACTGTCAAAGAGGGATGCATTTTCTCAGCTTTCTTTTTGGCACTGTCAGTGACTTCACTATGAGAAAAATGAAAAAAAAAACCCCAAACCCAAACAACCAACCCTAGTTCTTGTTAACAACACAAACCCTTTTAAAGTGAAAGTTCAACTTCTGCATTGCCCAGCATCACAAAAAGATTAGCTCTCAAATGTTAACACCCAGTCACTCCAAACTAAATTACTGCTTAAGATGACAAAGATAAAAAGAACACACTCTATTCACTTGTATTGGCAATAACATGCAAAGCAATGAAGGTGTTTAGAACATCAACCAGTTAGCAGGGTACCACTGCACCCCACTTCAGGAACCAAAATTTAGTTCCAAAACTATCATCTTAAAAATATAGTTCCAAAACTATCATCTTAAAAATTGATCTAAAACTTGAAAAGCAGTCAAAGGTATACTGAGACATCTAAAAATTAAAAAAAAAAAATTATCAGATAGAAAGTTTCCACAAATTCTGAGATTAGATGAGGAATTCATCCAATCTTACCCCTTATCTCCAAGAATATTCCAAGAAAGACAAAACTTATGGGTCATGTTAAGAACTGAGAGAGAACATCTTTTATGCTTTGCGACTCAGTTTTAAAATGTGTGAGAATTAACACAGAAAACTAAAATCAACTGGAATGATGGAATCTCAGTTTTGACTGCCTGAGGAGACTGATGGATTTAGAAATTTCAGTAATTTATTTTAAAGTTATGTTATAATTTCTGTAAAATTGTACTTGATTTTCATAAATGGACAAAATAAAATTTTAATACTAGACAATGATTCAGAAGGTACACTATCTTTGGGTTTTTTTGTAAATTTATTACTATAGCATAAAATTGAAATTACTCAATTCTTCATTTCACATTTAAAACATGAAAATTACTCTACAACAAATGGCCTTTCATATCACCTACAGAGTAAATTACTCAGCCCGCATATTCTCTGTCCTAACCTAAACAATGTTTGCCTACTCAGCATGGTAACTCAATTTAACTTTTAAATAATCTAATGAGGATTTTATACTTTACTTACAGAGCACGTTCAAAAAACTTTTTCTTTAATTAGTGTAATCTTCATCTACACCTGTGTCATAGTCTCAGCAGAAAAAGCAATGACTAAAGTCTTAAACTTGCATGTAGTCTCTCCACATCAACATGGTGACAAATAATACTAACATACGTGTGACGACAGTTAGTGGTTTTGTGAAAATAGATCTTCTGCATCTACCCATACATATATACTTATATATATATATAAAACACAGTCAGACATCTATACATATGTACTCATGTAAACATTTATGTAGCATCCTAGGAACTGTAACAATGCGTTATGTTCTCCTTTAGGTACTGACTTACGCTTTTGATACATATGAAAAAAATATTCAAGCGGAAAAGCTTGGTAAAAGTCAAAAGATGGTGTGTTCTGGGACTTGAGGTGTAACGAACATGTTCAATTACCTGGGCTGAACTTAGGCTTCAGCGAGGTTTTTGTGTAGGTGCCCGATTTCTAACACTATTTCTTGCAGTGTGAGTTTTCAGGATGGTTTGAAATAGGGGGGCTGGTTAGCTCAGTCAGTTGAGCATGGCGCTAACAACACCAGGGACACAGGTTCGATTCTCGTTTGGTCCCCATGTGTTGCCTGATCTAGTTGACAGGTGGCGACCCTGGCGACAGGGAGGCTGGATTAAAATGATCTCTAAGGTCCCTTCCAGCCTAGGCCATTCTATGATTCTATGATTTACATAAGAGCCACAGTTGTACCATTTAAGCCTCTGCCCATTAGCTTATGTCTTCTGACTTGGGAAAAAGTTGTTCATTAACTGTATCAGAATTTTGTAGTGAAGATCCTCACATCTCAGCTAACCAACTGTACTATGTATGAGGAGAAACAGAAAGGAAAAGCTACATGGAAGATTCAAATAACATTTCACACTGCTTGACTACTCAGTCAGAAATGTTTAGGGGAAAAAAATGATTAACACCCCAGTTTTGAAACAACTGAAACCACTATGAGCAGAGTTATTACTGGTTGCTTCTGTAATATAGGATACAGTATTTCATTTTGTCCAGTGTTGAGATGTAGTCACTCTGGAGGTGAAATAAGCTGCTGACTAATAGCACTCAAAAGACCATGTACCAATTTGTGGCAGGAGCTAGAGAATGCTGTTGCCTACACATACACTGGGGGGTATTTAAGTGGGTGGACTGTAGCTACCCAAACTGGAATACAGCAAGGCATTAGCATAAAAAACTGAAAAGTGCCACATGCAACCATGAGCATCCAGAAACCATTTATTTATTTTACTTAAACCTGTAATTTCTTTTGCTTACACATTAACTCAATATAGGTGGGTTTAGTACTTTTAAGTATCTCACTGCTTACTTTTTTAAAAATGTATTCTAATAGAGATTACATCTGTGCCTGTAGATGATGATGGAAATTATGATTTAACTGTTTAAAGTATAATATGCAATTCCATTTGACAATAATCAGTACTAGAAATTACACCAAAAAATAGGAAGCAAAAGGCGTGGTTTCCTCCATTTTAGCAGGAAATGGCTCTCTCCTCGTACTGGATGAATTCTTCAAGGTCTTAAGAAGGCAGGCAGAACAAAGGTGGAAGAGGAAAGGACAATGTGGCTTACCTGACATGTACACAGGAAATCTACTGGCTCATCTTATTGAAATGGGAAGTTTGTAAGCCTTTCCCTGAGCTTCACGTAGCACTGTGAGCAACATCCCACAGTATCAGAAAGTAACTGCTCTTTTGGGCCTTTCACTTTCAGAAAATGTCGTCTAGCTAAAACTGCATTCTTGTCATCCTTCCGTCTGCAGAGCATAAGTAATCAATATGGTCCTCCTCTACATTTACACCAAATATCCTCACTGGTAGACAAGGTATGGGAGCACTGGGTATATCCACATTAGTGGATTCTTTTTGGTGCGTATCTGTCTTGTGTTTACACTTGTTGTCTTGCAGAAACCACCAAAGTGTGCTAGGAGACAAATTTCCATGATTCAAGGAATACACTACCTCATCATTAGCTTAAAAAGAACAACTTCTCCAATTAAAAAGCTTTTTGCAGCACATCATCTTATTTTTGTAACAGAACCCACAAGGATGTACTAATATTTTTATCAATTAATATTCTGAGACTTTAAATTGGGAATTTTCCATTTCTCTTGCTTCTGAAAATGAAATAAAACTGAAAGATGTTAAATTACTTACACCCCCTCCAAAATAAAAATGCTTGCTTTGAAATCTAGTCACAAGCAGATTAACATCTTGTGATACAATCCCTTGTAGCAGGAGCAGCTGACAAGATGAGTAATGAACTGCATCCGATTATCTTTTCAGCTCTGTGGCAATCATTTTCCAACAGCTTCCTTTTCCATAACCAATAACACTAGAAAAAGGTCACCATTCTGTCATATTACCTCCCCCATCAGTGTATGCATTTAGTAATGCAGAGAACATGTAAGCCTTTACAAGTAAAGAGGTCTGGTACCGTTATCTGGGGCAAAACTGCTTCAGGTGCATATTGCATATATAGAAATCCTACATAAAACATCTATACATAAAATTTAAAGTCTCTCAAAAGGAAATTATCACACCTTAGCATATAATAGAATGCTATTTCCTCTTTTCATGCAATATATTCTTTCTTCAACAGAAGAACCTTAACTGTAATTGATGTTATCTACAACTCCGGACAGGCAAGGTTCAGGTTGACATAGACATATTTTCCCCATCACAGAATATAGAATTAAATCTAAGGACATTAACTGCAAGCAACTGCAGGAATATAACGGCACAACAGGATTTTCCCCCCAAACCAGAACCATTTAATTCCACATTTTTGAGTTAATGGTACTATGTGTTCCCAGCTTTATTTTGATCTCAAAGCAGAGAAAATCTGCACATAAATCATACTTCGCACTGCTACAAAATGGATGGGAGGTTAAGACTGGCTACGGAGCTTGCTATTTTTTCGTAAAAATCTGCTGTGAACATGCTCCTATACCTAAACTACATTTATATAAATTAATAATCTACCAACCCAAAATGGGAATTAAAAATATTTGTTGCTGCTGTTCCTGTGCCCAGTGATCACTTTATTCCCCAGACCTGACATAGCTGAGCAGGCGCTCAAGTGACTTAGTAGCCCCTGTGCAATTCCTTGGTGCAAGGTTTGTCTTCCTCTTGTCAATCCTTTGTTTTCAGAAATGAACTGGACACCTGCCCAGTAAGATGAACTAGAGCCACCCTCTGCTGTTCCAACCTGCTGGACAGCTGGCCAGAACTCGGGGAATAGAAAGATGTTTTTGAAAGACCTAAGGATTATAAGCACTTGGCTACTTTTGCAGATGCTATTCCTAGGGAATCCACTTACACCTGTGTAGGGCAAAATAGAAAAACAGAGGAATCACATTCCAGTTTGGCCCATCCACTATAATTTTACCATTTTTCATACTGTTGAAAAATTCAGTACTCAGTCACACATGCTATTCACATAGGAATTACTTGGTCATGGAAATTGCACACATAAATCAGACAAATATGTCCAGTGGGCTAGGCCACAAATGGCAATGAATTTTCTCAGCAGTAGGGCTCACTTTATCATGTATGTGAACTGGGCAAAGATCATTAGTGTAAATCCTAATTCAACAAAGTTTACCCCATTAGAATAATAGATGCAGGCAGTCTATTTCACTTTCATGGTTACATTATTTCTGTGAAATTAAGAATATGCTTAAGCTCTTTGCTGAATCAGGGCTATAATCAACAACCAGCAAAAATAATGTGTACTCCTTATATAACTATTTAGATTCAATTATTACTACAAAGTTACTATTGTCAATACTCTGCACAGACAGTAATATTGTGCCAGTTCCACAATAGAAGAGGTTTTGGACAAAACAATTAAGAACATGTGCTAATACTGCATAATGACTGCCAGGAGACATTTGGCAAGAAAGCAAAGTTGAACATAGGCTTGTGCATTACAGGTGAACACAGACTAGCAAACTGGTATTTTAAGATACATTTCTCTGAAGTAAATCTTTTTGTTGTAAACTAATAAGATTGAGTATTTCCCCAATAATACAAGCATAGTTAAGTGTGAAAATTTAACATTCTAATGGCAAAAGTTTAACACTTTTGCCAGTCAAGGACAGAAAAGGTCCAAGAAGCCAAATTCAAAGCAACTGACTAGCCTTTTAGGCAGAGATTTTAAAGTACAAGTCAACAGAATTATAGAATGGTTAAGGCTAGACCAGATGATCTCCAGAGGACCTTTCCAACTCCCTTGCTTAAGTAGGGCCACCTAGAGCAGGTTGCCCAGGACTGTGTCCACGCAGCTGTTGTGTATGCCCAAAGATGGAGACTCCACAACCTCCCTGAGCAACCTGTGCCAGTTCTCAGTCACCCTCACAGTGAAAAGGTATTTCCTGATGTTCAGAGGGAACCTCCTGTGTTTCAGTGTGTACCTAATCACAGAACGTTAGGGGTTGGAAGGGACCTCAAAATATCTTCTAGTCCAATCTCCAATGCCTCTGGTCCTCTCATTAGTCATCACTGAGAAGAGCCTGGTTCCAGCTTCTTTGCACCCTCCTGTCAGGTATTTTTTTATGTTGATGAGATCCCCCTTCTCCAGGCTGAACAGTCACAGCTTCCTCAGCCTTTCCTCATAAGAAAGATGCTCCAGCCTCTTCATCTTTGTGGCCCTTTGCTGGACTCTTCCCAGCGTGTCCACATCTCTCTTGTACCGGGGAGCCCAGAATCAGACACATTACTCCATGTGTGAACTCAATGGTGGCAAATAAAGAGAAGGATTGCCTCCTCAATGTGCTGACAATACTGTGCCTAATGCAGCCCAGGATACTATTTACCTTCTTTGCCACAAGGGCAAGGTGCTGGCTTACGTTCTACTTGGTGGCCATCAGGGTCCCCATGTCCTTTTCTGCCATGCTGCTTTCCAGCTGCATGGCCACCAGCACATACTGGTGCCTGAGGCTGTTTCTCCCCAGCTGCAGGACTTTGCATCTCTCCTTGTTGAACTCCATGAGGTTCCTGTCAGTCCATTTCCCAGCCTGTTAAGGTCCCTCTGGCTGGCAGCATGACCCTCCAGAGCATCAGCCACTCCTCTCAGTTTTATGTCACTGGCAAACTTACTGAGGGTACACTCTGCCCCATTATCCCAATCAATAATGAAGGTGTTAAACAGGATTGGACCCATAAAAGAGCCCTGGGGTACACTGCTAGTTACTGGCCCCAGCTAGACTTTGCACCACTGATCACCAGCCTCTGGGTGGTCATTCAGCTGGGTCACTCTTGAACAACCCCATGTTCATAAAAAGCTGAGTTTCAGAATTTCAAAAAGAGGGCTCCTAGAGCACACAGAGATATAGCAGATTTAACCATCTGTGCAATGCCTGGTGGTAAGGAAGGATTCAGATCAGTATTCTTTTACCAGCATGTAATGAAAATGGGAAAAAAAACCAATTAAACTTGCATCTTAAAATTCTTTTTTTCAGTACTCTTTAGATCTTTAGAGTATTGTATTACAGCATGTATGCAGACTTGCTAATAGCGTGGAGTGGCATCATTAGTCAGCTGTATAGATTTGAAATTCAGATTACTGTTGCCTGTTTGTAGGATTATAAGATCATCTTTGATGGAAAAAACTACAGGCTGACAGAATCCATGTGCTTCCCTTCCCACTTATTCACATGAAAGTGACTTGATTTCACAGTTCAAAAAGTATAACCCATTTTCACTAATAGATACTAGTAAGTTAATAAACCACTGAACAATAGTGGGCTGAGTACCAGTACCATGACAGCAAAACTATTTGAAGATCTGTTATTCACTGTTACTCTACAAAAATACTAAAGCTACAGCCTGGAAAAAAGATTTAAAGTCTCCTCAAACATAAGAAAAGAACAGCTTAACTCATTTTTAAAAACCATACAAAACCATTAATTAACTTTGCTATTACTGAAATGAAATTGCTTTAGCTCAGATCTTTATATAACTATTTAGTATCTGACATTAAATCTAGATTCAAGGAATGAGTATGAAAGTACCCCCCTTATTCAATATTAGACAAGAACGCAAGAAGATGCTGAAAAGACATATTTATTTTTAAAAATGTCTCTATTTCCTCCCACTGTAAATTTAGAACTTAATGAGTGTAATTTCCCATCTGTGAATTATCATATTTGTGTGTGTCTAAAATAGCTATTCTAACATTCAAATAATAAATCTGACCCACTGATTCTAAACTGGCTCCCACTTCATGACAACCACTTCCAACTTATTTTTCCCTGTAGAAATTTTGATACTTTGAGTAGAATGTGAAAAACATCTTTATTGTAAAGCCCTTTGAAATGTAAAACAATATAGTGAATATTACCATGCAGCTAGTTGCTGCAGGCTCCTGAAATCAGGCTTTGCATACTAATACATACAATGTTTTCTATCTGTAATCAAAGGCTCCACCATAAAGAAATACAGGACTGGCAAATGTTGCTCTAAAAACAGAAGACATTTAAAGGACAGCCTAAATATTTTTTCCACCAATAAAGCAACAATGCAAATGATTTAACAATTTTGTACGGGAAGATCTTATGGGACAGAAATAAGGAAATCTATTTGTGCTATTTCTATAGCAACATAATTGTCAAATGTAACACTGTGAACAAAAAGCCATCATCCTCAGTAGTGCAATTAATCAGTAAAGAAACAGACAAATTCCAAGCGTACTTTCAACAACCCTTTTCTATCTTCTCAAAATGGTCGACATTGAATTCCTCAGAAGAGCAGTGGATTTAAATTTCTGATGTTGTCCATGTTAAACACTGCAGGTGAACAGATGTCAATAAATGACACAATGATTTTAAAAATGACCTTGATTTTTTTGTTTTACTGCAGGGCACAGAATTTCATTACACCGAGTTGATCACTTTATATCCAAGATGTAACAGTTGCTAGACTTCCAGCAGTAGTGCAACATTTTAAAAAGATCTCTTTATGCAGCTGACAGAAGAAACACACCTATGTTTTTTAAAAAATATATCCTTCGTAACTAGAAAATAAGGTTAGAATATTAGAATTCTTAACTAATTCCTCAGAAAAACAAATCTGTGAGGAATAAAAATACTTAGGTCTTAAACGGTGCCCTACATTTTTAAAACTACTTAAAACATTAATTAATCCTCCCATATTCCTGCAAGATATGCATCAACTAGAAGTAAATGAACTTAGTGTTTCCAAAAGCCAGTAACTACCCCAGGGACCTGACAGTTTTCTTCTACCCAGAGAATTGATTTAGTATGCACAGCTGCAATTCCAATGATGCTTTCACCTTGACTACGACATACCCCATCCTAGGGCGGTTCATTACCGCGTCCACTCAGCCCCATACTCAGCCAGGTAAGAGTGACAAGAACGATGATAAAAGGCGGCACTTACGGTAAACGCGTTTCTTTTCGAATTCCAAGCTGACTGAAAACCAATGGACTTAATAATTTTCAGTCACCACCGAACTGCAATTTGCACAAAGCTCATCAAACCACAAGTGAGAAAGAACAATGATCGTTATAGCCTACTAACCCACCCAGCCTCCACACCATCCCTTGTATTTTCAGCTGCAGGGAACCAGAATTAAAGTTCCAGAGAAAATACAGTGCACAGGCTCTGACCTTCTCATTTTACTTAGAACCAAATTACTTTTAGCATGGCTCTGGTCACACTGATCCATCCAAAAATAGTAGCAGGACTTCTAATTGGTAAGATCTTTTTGGTATTTTTTTAAGAGAGTCCTCAAAAATCTTGCAACCGAATTCAGCAGGGCAATTTGTATGTTTAGAATAAAGAGCATCTTCGATATTTTGGGGATCAAAAACCTGCTCATTCAGTTGTATTTAGATCTCCACATCTTGCTTAAATAATAAACAGAAACTTCAGAAGAAATGATGTGCAAGTAATCTAATTCTGCTTCTACAAAAATACTGGAAAATAAATCACATACTTGTAAAAATAGGTGACAGATTATTTTCTGAACTCACATAAGGCAATAATTAGATTATTTTTCATTTTTTTCCACTTGGGATTGTTTTTTATTTGGATCAACTGAATGCGATGCTAGATGTGAATAACTTCAAAGCAGTAACATTTTTTGACAAGTTTGGGCGAGGAGGAGAACTAAGAAGGTGAAATGTAAGTACACTTTGGGCAATCAACATTTCTATTTCCCATTTATTTTCTTTATCTTATGCAATGAGGAGGACATTTCCTTCTGTATCGTTAACACCTCATATTGCCAGTGTTGACAACTCAGGAAAATAGCCTGCTTACTCATCAAACGTTCATCAGGAGAAGCAATGATAAGAGCCCTCCACAAAGTACATAATAACACTCCCTACAACTCTCAGCTCACTTTCTTACCCAGAGGATTACATAAAGGACAGGGTTGTGCCTGAGCTGCCAACGAACGGGACATCAGAGGATCAAAGGTGGTCAAGGACAGATCTCTCACAGGCAGGAACCTTCTTGTGCCCAGCACAGAGACCCCAGCTCACCCCTTCTATTGACCACTCCAACCCTTTCTTCCCCCCCTAAAAAATCATTTGCTGCTTTTAAGGATGCTTCTCACTTTGCAGAACTATTTGCTGATGCCTACGTAGGAGTGAAGGACCCAAAATAGATGAGGATCAGAGATCAGTCTCAACTCTTACAAGGGGCTTAGAGGGATTCTTATCTCTAATTAGGAAGGTGGCTGTCACAGAAAGATATGTTCTGCTGCGACTTACACTGAAGTCAATTGTAGTTTAGGTATTACAACAGCTGAGGCAGGATTAGTCACCACACATTGAAAGAGAGAAGCAATAAAGCAGAATAAACCAGAGTAACCTATTAGCTCTCGGAAGGTGAATTAAGCAATCGAAAGAAGTGATATAAATAATCAGTCATCAGTGAATAAAAATATCAATTCTACATTATTTAAGTCTTATTTGTATTTTCAATTTTTAGCCTGAACATTATGAAAACAATAACCCTTTTAAAAAAATGCATAAAATAAATCTCTATGCATTTTCCACAAAACTAGAAATCAGAACGTAATGAATTTTGAATTCTTTCAGCCTTGCTCCTCAAGTAAAATCTAGTCATTAAAGGCCTTTTGTTTTAGATAAAACCACAAAAATGTCCTTGCAGTCTTACGATAAATGCCCTTCTCCTTTAAATATCCTGTAGATCTTTTTTTTTAAATTAAATCTGTAATTTTAAAATGTACAGATTTATAATGCATCATTACTAGTATGAAATGTAACAGTTTTTACATTGTACTATGAGTGCATGATTTCTTTTCAAATTTGCATTCATTTCATATTGTGGCAAAGGAAAAATACCAAAATACAGACCCGCAAAGGGAAGGAGTCGAGGGGGGAGAGAAGGAGTGGTGTGAAAGAAGTGTTGTGTGAATTTAATCTCCAGATTCTTCCATGATACTTATGTAAGCCTGGGTATGTCACTTAACTTTTGGTCATGACTAATGGTGGAAAAATTTGGAAATGAATTCTGTGAGAAACCATACTGTAGAAAAGTTGAGTGTGTTGTCAT